TACGTAAAAAATAAAGTGACAGGTCTACGTTTTTCGTTACCTGAAGAAGCCGTCAATGCATTCAGAATGCATGTTTTAGAGTTACCTTAATCAGGGTGGCAAAAAAAGCTTCGAAAATTGGTTCGGACGCATGCGAAAGTGTATAGATCTTAATGTGGAAAATTTTTGAGACAGTAAAGCGATTTTCAATAATTAACATTCATTTTTCTTCAATCCGAAAATATAAAAGGCAACCTACGATATACAGGGTGGGCCAAAATTATGATTACAGCGCGCGCTGACGCTCATAACGAATTTTTTCTGAGGTCATAGCAATTCGCTCGCTTTCTTCTATTTCGCAAGGTAGACTACATTATTACCTTCCTGATAATACTGAACTTTTGGTAGATTTTGAAAATAATGTAAGCGTAATTAACCCGTGAATAAATCGTCACTTCGCATTTACAAGCACTTTTGGCACGGTGCATCTANTCCCCAGCGAGCAGACTAAAAAGAAGAGAAATGTTGGCTCACCAAAGCTGCTCCGCCGCATACAAAAAATTGTCGTACGGGATTCCTGTTCACCGGCGGAAAGATATCCGCAGTGAAAAAGGTGCCCAAGCAGGGCTACAAGATTTGTATAAAGTTGAAAGAAATGGAAGTGATGCAGCGCTAGGCTTGCTCACTTTCTGCGATATCCTTTGCGAGCGTCACAGCCGAGGCAGAAGCACCGATTATTTTTGTAAAATAAGGAGCGAAAGTTGATTTGGAGACCGGCTTGATCTCTTCGTGCGCAATAGGACAATTTGTCGATTCAAACCGGAAATATTGTCAAGATGATTTCCTGATTGCAAATCAGAAATTGTCTAGAAATTCCGTAAAATGGGTTCCCTTACTTCACAACCTTCGATCAGTGACCACTCTGGAGCCCTGAGCTACATCCCATGGATGTCTCAGTGTGGTCAGCCTTTGAGATAAGAGCATCCGTTGGCCCAAACATGAAGTGAAATAATCTCGAAAATACCTTGCAAAAAGCTGGGATCAACTCGATGACCTTAGCTGCGTGCCACCGCTAATGTTGTCCATCATCGTCTCTGTGGTTGGGTGAAAGCAGAAAGCAACAGATCCCAGTCGCAATGTACTGTTTTGATAAGAGGTAAGTGATAGACACTTTAATGAAATTGGTTTGTTTTTTAGCTTCCTCTTCGTTTTCGGGGATGTGATGTCTGTGTAATTATAATTTTGGCCCACCCTGTAAACAGGATGCTTATGCCGCTCACTAGGCGAAAGTGACTAAATTTTCTTTGAAAATGTTTTCCAGAACGAAGAGAACGAAACCCCTCTACATATTAGATATCCCTTCGTGTATCTTCGAGGTCACTCATTCAGAAGTGCGCAAACATTTGAAGGTATGGTGGGATAGAGATATGCGGATTCGATCTTCTGTTTCTTTTCCCTGGCGTTAATCCCGCGCCGCTGCGTGTCCGCTATTCTTGTCAGACGTCTTTATCTCTTTCTATATACGGCATCTTCTGCCGTAACTCCAGCTTCGGCACGGTATTCCTGGATCACGTACCGCCACCGCTTCTTTGGGCTTACCTTGAGCGTCGAGGTCTACTGCCTTCCATATCGGATGATTCGCGTACTCCTCAGTACATGCTTGAACCATCGCAGACCTGCTCTCACACTTTTAGCTGGACAAGAGCAGTTGCATAGTTGCAGTTATTTCGTTGCATGCACAATTCCCCATGAAGATTGTCTGCTGGGAGAGACCTGTGCTGTGGAGTCAGATATCCACCACGCTCAGTTATGAGTTTTGTCTCTTACAGTTTTGAGGGACGACCTCTCCAGGGGTACGTTCTCTACTTCTCTTTCTTTCCTTCCACTACTGTAGGTTATCTTCTGGGTTTTCCTTTTCGTGAAGAAGGTACTGCAGGTGTTCAGGTCGCGGGCTGTAATCATTTCAAGGAGCATTCTTCTTCTTTCCTGACTTCAACACCTCTACGCCGTGAACCCTCTCGAGATTCCTCCGTTCCCTACTGACATAGCAATTCAGACCGCGAGCTATGTCTAGATAGCCCCATTTGGGATAGGCTCGTTTAAGCTCAGATAGAATTCATCCATTTCGGGGCAGCCAGCTTGCGGTGGGTATACCGATTGCTGCCCAGTACCTTTTTTTCGTATTTATCCTCACAACCAGAGTCGATCGCTAATGCTATTGGCAGCGGGGACAGAATTTGGAGGGACTCCGCTAATGCATGGACACAGCGTTTTGTGTGGTGTCTTTCTTCTCTGTTGTAGTAGAACTTCATACCTTCTCCAATTTCTATGGCTTTGCTCCTTTCGAACGTGTCTGCTGAAGGCACAGGACATAGATACTTCTGCGCTTCATTAGATCAGCAACCCCTCGTGATTTTCCGGTAAGCAATCTCATGTTCACAGTCCGTATTCGAAATTGCTTCTTTGACCGAGGTTGTCGTTCCTCGGTAGCTATCGCATTCTGTCCGCAGGACTCTGCGGAGGTCTTCCGCGGTACTTCTGTGTGAGGTGCAAGCTTTATAATGGATCATTTTTGAAACTTTAGACATTTTATTGTGAATGGATTTTTAGAAAAGTCAGCCTGTCATATTGCACCTGAGGATGGTACCTACACCATTTTTGCAGTTTCGCAAGGCATGGGTTTGTCCCGACAGGGATCGAACTCGCGCTCTTTCTAGCAATAAGTGCAGACGTGAGCCTAAACTCTCATCCACTCGACTATCCCCGCCTTTATGCTGGTTCGATATACATTGTTTTGAACAGAAGCTATCAGTTCTCACGTAGCTGCCCAGAAACAGATATCCAAAAAGAGAAAAGAAATATGAGGGGCCAAAACCAAAGTGGAATTTCCAATAGTGTGCCGTAAAAGAAAGGGGTATGGTGCTCAAAGTCATCACAAGCTGGATCAACACCTACGACGGCGTTCCTAGCGTAATGTCGAGGAATCGGTGCATTCAAGAAAGAAAGAACGGAGACAAGAAAAGGTGGAGGTGTTCACTCTGACCATGAAGAGCCGAACCGTGATATCAAGCGTGGCGTATAAATGCTGCAGCGCAGAGGCTGGACCATTACCCAATTCCTACGCACCTCCGCTGGGACCTCAGGCCGAATAATGTCAAAAAAAGAAGACGGTAAGAAATACCTGTGTACAAGTACCTCAGTATTCTACAAAAGTAGTTTGCAACCGAAGTGTTGCTTGTAGTAACAACCTCCCCCACCACCAAAGACGTCCGCCACTTTTGAAACGGATATGAACCGAAGGCAAAACATGGATGGGTTTGCACGCTGAGCCAAAATGTCACATGCGTAGGGTTTGGAGAATGCAGATGCTGTAGAGCTATGAGCGTCATGTTTTAGCAACTTTATTTACAAAAAGGAGCTCTCTGCTGACGATCTGCATCAGTATCTCGACGATAATACCCACAAGGAAGTTTAGCATATGACTGCGGTAGGTATAGAAACCTGGATGTAACCGCCTTATTCGCTCGAACTGCATCTGTCCGATCCCAGCTGTTCTGACCAACTGAAAGCACTTCTGAACCTCAATCGCTTCGACAACCAATCGAATGCGGAACAGACCTAAGCAGCATTTTATCCACATTTGCTGAGAAAGGAACTGCTTGGTTGCCATGTGCTAACTGGACACTAGAAATGAGCCGCTGAGAACAATGTGGCCTAATCAACTGAGCACTAGAGTACCAGCTTTTTATCTCCCTTGCTGCTCTTCGATTCAAACAAACACAACAAACAACTTGCTCCATCTTGAATGCGATAACATCAAACTTTTACGAATGGGCGATCATGAATGAATGGATGCAAAGCTTCGAGCAAAGGCATATCACGAGTCCTTCCCAGCACTCTATGTACCCTACAGACCTATCAGTTACGTCACTATGGTTGAGAGTTTTCATTAGTTACACCTTCAAGATTCATGAATACTATTCATCGAAGCTTCTTCGCCAGAGAACCCTGCACAACCGAGAACCACTGATGGTGCGTGGGCAACCTCATAATAGTCAAATTTGACACTGAAATACAGTATCGCTCAAAAGCATTCGGCGGAATGCTTCTTCATCTGTACTTTTCAGTCGTAAATTATTTAATATTAGACCAAATCATGTGAAATTTCAATATGTATAGCATGGGTGTAGTGTGAATATTTACTACTAATGAGCCTGCAATCTGATCATGTTAGAAATATGCCAAAGAGCTTGAACACAAAATCAACTGGAAATACGAATGATGGCCCTTCTGGACTTTGTTCCCTTTTTGGCATATCTAAAGTCCACGAGCGCTATCGCCTAACACGGTAGAGAAGAATAAGGCATATAAGGTGCGAATAACTGCAGACGTCACTAACATTGTTTAAGCAAAGTCTGTTACCGCAAAAAAAAAAAAAACGACTTGCTCTCAGTCAGGTGGATATTGCTGCTTTGCCGTCAAACAGGGTAGGATGTTGTGAAATATGCTTCAGTTAAACATATCAAAATTTCGTGCGATTTGCTCCACTACGAAAAATGTTATGAACGAAAAAGCGTGGAAGCGTTTGGCCAGGCCAAATACTTTTGAGCACTACTGTAGCTGCTGTTCCACAACAGTAACAGGAAACTTTTCAGTTTTTTTCTTCTTAAGGTGGATAATATACTTGTCGAAATTCAACATTTGTGCATCACTGTACTGTTCAAAGGCCAATTCATTGCACCAATACATTTATTTTTCATGCTAATTCTGCAAGGAATGATCATTAACATACATAGACCGATTAATCCGTAGCAATTCCTGAGTTTTCGGCTAGTTGGAGCGGTATTTTGAGCACTGGTGACCCGCTATTCACCTCGAAAAAGGGATGCTACCACTAAAATACTCTTTTGCGAAGTAGCGATACTGTTGAATAGTTCCATTGCAGGGAAGGAACAAGAATGATTACTACAATCCGGAGTTGAATAATCTATAGCTCCTAGAAAGAACGATATATACTATAATTAACATTTATCGTCCTTATGGCAGAATGATGCCTTCCGCTTCTCAGTGAAGGCCGTTATTCCCTCTTGGGCATCCTTCAGCTTGAGATTTTCCACCATCACCTTTCCACCGTACCTGAAAAACGAAGAAAAATGGAAAGAGTACTTGATTTCGCTCTGAAAAGTATTCTGAAAATCCAGTTGCAACGGCACTTGATTCAAGTGATACATTGCTTACAAAGATCAGAGGTCAATACCACACTATTATTATTCAAATTATTGTTTGACTGTTTTCACTAACAAAAAACGCTAACTTAGGCAGTGCCGTTGTACACGAAGATCTTGCGAAAGATCGCTGTCATAGTGCATATATTGAGATGTCCACGAGCTTTCAAAACTCCGTGAACACTGCGTTCGCTGCGGAGATCTCAAATATATAAAAGGGTACCGAGCGCATTCCAAACAAAGAGCTTGATTTAATGATGCCATGGCTGCTAATCATATTCATCAACAACAGCCGTACAACCACTGCAACTCGAGAAAGCAATCGTCGGAGCTTACTTGACTGACATGATTTATAATGAGATAATGCCTTGCCCAGGAAATGCCTCCAAGAATTCACCGTTCGTAAAAGAACCATTCTCTGGAAGAAATCTACGGGACTACGACCACCTCACAACCAAATTAGTCGTCAACTCAACTAATTCGGAAGCAGGTTTGTTGACTCTTTCTTGTTGCGTTGCGGAGAATGGCAGAAAAAAAGTTGCTAGGGGATATCTCAATCGGTATATACTCTCCTACTGCTCTGCAACGCTGCATTCTATTCACCAAGGAAGAAATGGAATACCACCGAACAACTCTCGAACTCGCACAAAAAATCGAAGCAACTCGAATGAATGTTGCCACTAGGGACAGCAACAGCCAGACATAGAACAAAACCTAGGTTCGATGAAAGTAAGTAAAAGTAAAGGTGTATAGAGACATCGTCATAAGCGAACCGATCTTACAATGGTCTGGGTAACCTCCTGCGCTCTCTGCTTGACGAGAAACTAATGACATGTCACGTTGAAGAATTCTTGTTCACGTCTAGCATTTCTTATCCTTTGACTATGAATGCCATTCTAACAATCAGCTACCAGTCCATGCACTCGCTCGCGATCCCGATTCGGTCTTTTATGTAAGATTGGGACAGCATTTCGCGCACTGACTCATGTGAAACTGAAGCATCTCTAATCATCCTGCTGCGAAATCTCCTAGTGTTACTTTTATATCTCCCAAATTTAGGTTGTTCTAGTAAGACTAATCATTTAAAGAAATTCATATTTCAAAATATTTGAGGGTGAAATACCTCGATGTGATACAAATGACTATTATGAGCAATTACGAGAATCCTCTACATCATTCCAACCTTGGAATTACTTCGGAAATAGATGAACACACCTATATGCCTCCTTGACACCAAGTTCAGTTTGTGCGTAGAAAAATGCTTTTCCAAGCGCTGTGACCGAACGACTGTGCTGGCCAATCAACTCGGCGATCCTCAAGGCCTCGAATTTCACCTCTTTTTCCGGAACAACACGCGAAACTAGGCCGCATCGAAGAGCAGCTAAAATCATCAGAATTTTGTTCAGATGATGTTCTCAAACAAAACTTAAGTTATGTGCAGTCGAAATAGAGAAACAAAATTGTGAGAATTGTGAGAGCTAGGCTGGTTTAGATCATGGGTTCAAAGGAAACATGAGATAAATCAGGGTACACTACGCAACTTAATAATCTATTTACTGCCTAGTAGACATTAAAACCAATTTCTTCTGTGGTGTATCTTCTGCGTAGAAGGATCACCCATGAACTCAACTATGATAACACGCTCTTTGAGACCCGTCTCGCTGCAATCAGTACTGAAATCAAGGGCTTTCGTAGTGATGTGTAGGAAAGAAACCAGAACTTACCTCCAAGCAACCTTACCATTACATGAATTCTACAACATATAATGCGCTATTTAAGCTTGTGTGTAGGGTGTGGAAGTTAAGCCACATAACAGAGATTGCGTGAGATTGAAAGCAGAGATGTCGTTGATTTAGCGACTTTTTACATCGTAACACCTTTAATTCATCACTATATAGTCCTCCTTTCCCACCATGTCCGCACCGATAACCTTAGTTTGGTAGTTTTTGATCGAATAATTCAATTAACCGCATAAGCGTTCAGTTAATTGCAAAATGACTACATATAATGATAAGAATCTTCAATGACCCGAAGTTACTTTGAAAATCTGTATTTACAACTCACGCTCACTGAAGAAGACACTCATTACAACTACGAATGTTTATGTAATCACAGTAGTACCGGGCAGGCACTCCATCACACTCGATTCTCTTGTGAAGAGCATGTTTGGTATAAAATAATGAATGAGTAGTGAAATTTGTTGCCGGAAATTTAGGACGGTGATAAAGATGGAAAGCTCTGTGAAGATGATATCACAAGTTATTTTGAGAAGTGAAAAGATAGAGAGAAACCTACTCACTTTGAGCATCAATTGGTTCTCCTGTGAAGAGCATTTCTAATGCCACCTTGTGAGGAATAGCCCGAGCTAGTGCGATTCCTGGAGTGGAGCAAAACAACCCGACTTTTTGCCTTAAATTATTCATCGTTGACCGGTGCTTTTGTGAAAATGAAATTTTGTTCAATCTTAGGTACAACTAAGATTAGGGACAGTGCCTCAAATGTTCAACCAATTCCAAAGGAGTCAAGATGTTTCTTAACTTCTAGACGGAAATAGAACACGGAAATTGACTGTTTTACTAACTACTTGTTCGAAAGCGAAGGGAACTCTCAACTAACCCGGGAACCATGAATTTGGAGTTATCAGCAGCCACCACAATGTCACACGATGCCACCAACTGACAACCGGCCGCAGCGGCTATGCCACGCACCTGCAAAAACAGTTTCTTCCAAATGCCACAGCGCGTTAATATGTAACTATGTACGTACTGGAAAACCATGAATGAATATTGACAACGAAGAGAACTTCACAATTCTTTTTATAGAGATCCGCCTGACGTGGATGTACCTTATACTTATTACTTGATCACAAAATTTCATTTTAATTACAAAAAATAAATCTATCAAGTGAGTTCTCTACTATATGCATATATATGTATGTTATATATAATTACATCACCTGTATCACCTGTCGTCCCGTTAATCACCGACTTCCTCGAGCGGGCGCCAGTAACGTCTCCATTCGTCCCTGTCACGAGCCAGAGTGGTCCAGTGAATCGTTCTCGCTTCAGGGACACGAGGTTCAACATTCCTTTCGCTCAGAGCTTTCGCGAAGAAGTCTGACCATCTCGTTGGCGGCCTTCCTGGAGTTCGTTTGATGTCCCGAGGGATCCAGTCAGTAACCGCCCTGGTCCAACGGTCATCACCATATCGCATAACGTGTCCGGCCCACCTGATCTTCGATTTCTTGGCGTAATCAACGGCATCCCTGATCTTCGTTCGGTGACGGAGCTCGGAAGTCCGGATTCCCTTCTGCACGTGCGGCCCTGAGATTTTAGCAGCCTCACCCGAGCGGTCCTACCCAACGCTGCCGTATTGGGGGCTCCCTCAGGTTCAGGGGAATGAGGCCCATTTCTATGTTTTTGGCGTGAAGATACCATACGTGCAGCTTGCCAGGCTCTGACGTGGGGGCTATTGACTCCGGGGGCTTGCCAGGCTATCCCGAAGTGGACAAGGGGCTTTGTTTTTGGAGGCGGCCCCGAATCGTCTCCCAGATACTTCCCAGTGTGACTTGATCGTCACTCGAATGCAAGCTTTTAGCCGAGTCGATGGGCAGGATACCAACTGTACCCACAGACTCTCCACGCACGTATGCGTGGATCGCCTGCGAGGAACAGAGGGTATATCGACCCAGCACAGCAGAATCAAGGAGTCCATCCTCCGAATCCATCTGCGTCTCTGGGCAAGTACCGGTGTCTTTTGGTCGGCGATTAATTCCCCTATCCGCCACCTGGGGACGCCCTACGTAGCCTCGTCACTAACCGGCTGGAGATCCTTCAGTGAGAGATATAGATTTAGTGATATAATTACATATATGTACATATTATATATGACACGCTTACGTCCGTTTGTTTGGTTGCCTGCCTGTCACCTTTATTGCAGAACCTGAAGAGTTACAGAGCAAGATCGAAATGGCACACTTGAGCTATGCGTGGGCAAAACCGTGAGCAAAACTTTCTAATTTGACTTCATAACACCTCGAACGCTGAAAAAGCTGGGCAAAGGATAAAAATATGCCAACAAATAAAACGCAAGAGACCCATCCGTTGTCGGCGGTGTGTTCTCGCACTGGGCGGTACCTTCAACACCACAACTCGATTCCTAGGACACTCCGGTACTACAGGACAAACGAGCAGGATTTATTATGTGCTGGGCAAGCGCGACCTTAGCACAGTTCCGTTCACGATGCGCAGCATGCAGCCGAGATCAATCTGTCCGAAAGCATTTTAGAACCATAATCACTACGAAGCTATCTCCACGTTCGTTATTTTTGAAACCTGGGTATATCGTGTAATGTTTCACACTGCATTGCAGTACAAGTTTCTTTTTTTATGATAGAACCGCTTTATAAGATCGACTTTCGAATAACTCGTCGTCTTCAAGAACGTGAAGGTAGTTCGGAGCCCCTGATCTGTGGATTACCCGCACCCGTTCGTATTCCTTTTGCTAATATATCGCTATACTTGTATTTGAATCCAGATTTCTGTGAGGACGAAGCTTGCAGGGCAGTCAGTTTGGTCCGAAGCGACTACTTTGAGAGAAAACGTTGAAATCTTTTCACTTCCCCTTTTAGTACATAAAACATAGAAACGAGTTGATGATCTTCAAGATGATTTCTTATACTTTTAGAATTGATCGTAACTTTCTTCATAATTCTTTAAACTCAACTGTCCACTGCTGACGACGAAGGAAGCGTTTTGGAAGAGCTGCAAAGACAGAGAGGATAACTCTACTCTTTGTGATGATCTGACTACCCCTATTAATGAGGATACAACAAGCAAGGGAATCCAGAGTTCCGTGCTCCATCAATGGACGAAGGCCAGGCATTTCGTTGCTTACGTCAAGGAATCGAAGACAAAGTGGGCCGTTGATACTGTGATGACCGTGCTACTGACTGGATCCCCCAGACTTTTTCACGAAAGCTCTGAGCGAAGAGAATGGTATGCCTCGTGTCCCTGTGAGGGCCATACACTGAACGACTCTGACTCGTAAAGGGCCGAATGGAGACGCTATTGGTGCCCGCTCGAGGAAATCGATGTTTAACTGAGGACGACAGTTGATACAGGTGATGTTATCTCATACAGGCAATAAATATGCTTCACAAAATGACAGTGTAGGTACGGGGATTGAAGAATATTTTCAATGCGCAAAGTAATTTTCAACAGACTCTCTCATTCCTTCGAATATGGATTAATCATGGCAAATGTTTGCTAATCGGTGCGAGTTACTATTTAGTGGAAGAAGTTCCCTTTTTTTGCATGACAAATCGTTCCATACGAAAAACCAAAGTTACAACAGACATAACGTAAACAGTAAACAGGAGACACGTGAACCTTTTGCTATAAGCTAATGAAATTATCATAAAAAACTAGATTCAACCCACTTCAGCAATAACTGGGATCTCCATGCGCCGCATCAACAACATGAGATTGCCGCATCGATCAAAAACTTTTTGATGGGAACCATGTCCTTTTTTAGCTTTCGAAAATACTGTTATTTACAACGAAAACATGACAATAAATGCAGAAAACGCTATTTACCAGTTCACGTAAGTCATGACCAGAAGAAAAAGCTGGACCTTCAGATGATATTATAACCGACCGCACCTGTAATTAATATTTTATCATATCGCCAACTGTTGAACTAATAGGTTTTGGTAAAAAGAACAACCTTTCGAATCGAATTTACTTCTTCTAGTTCTTTGGTCAGTTCTTCAATCATCTCCAGTGAAAGCGCATTGCGTCGCTTCGCATCATTTAAAATTAGGCGAACAACTGATTCACCCTAAATATGCAACATGTAAATCAAATATCACTCAGATTTACAAGCTAATCTAAACGCAAAAAATCCACGCAAGGTCGGCAATGCCCACCACGAAGATCTGCCGCTTTAGTCTATTCCTATTTGACTATAGCCAGAGCGCTGTTGAGGTGCCGTGTTCACTGAGATAGTTTTAGGAAATGATCTCTCATATCAACGGTTTAACATTAATGAACACGTCCGATTCCTTGCCTACACTTCTCCACTGGGCCCAAAAAGCGCCATTAATTATCTTCTGACAATGGTTCCACCGGAATTACAAAATACCCTATTGAGGGGGGGGGGGGGGGGGGGGGGGGGAGCATTGTTGCCTGAAGAGAGAGAAAGAAGACCCATGCTAGCATGCCCCGTGCTAGCAGGTGTGTTCACATAGCCTTCTGGATGTCAGCGTACTAGCTCCCGATAGGGCGCCTATAGCACGGATTGACGCTTGCACAGTACAGCAATGAGCGCTAAGCGCGAAGCGTCGAGGCCACGTTAGCGCCGGGGCTGCCGCTGACGGCTTCTGCGTTGAAGGTTGTAATTTTCCAAGAGGAGCTGCTCACAACTCTTTCATAATAGCGCATATGGTAATTGCGGACGCTGTTTCTCCATGTCCATACACCAGCCGATACTGCGACTGCTCACGACAAGGGCGTAAGCAAAGAAAACAAAGCACTAAAAGCAAGAAGCACTGTGGAGTTAAAAAGGAACACTATGAATAGAATACTCAAAAACGTGAGCTTCCTAGCGATGGGAGTAAAAATCGAGTAAAAACCCGATCAGAAAGTTGTTACCTCCCCTGTTACCTGAGTGGTTTCGATCGATGTCCAGCGTTGCAAAATATACAACTAGTGGCCCGCGAGGCTCGACGCTTGCCGCTCAACGCTTTACTCTGAAAAGCCGCTTCAGGCTTCAACGGCGCAACCGACCGACGGCGGCGCTAGCCCCTTGTTGACAACACTGGCGCATGATACATCTGCGTCCAGTGTTGTTATCACATAGCCAGCAATACCGTTGGCCGGGGGACGGGACTCCGAGGATACTCGCGGCGAATTGCACGGCGAAGTTCGAGGCGATTTGAACGATTTTAGCGCCTAACATTGGGATCCAAATTAGAAGTAAATTATTTAACAGGATCTGATGGCCATACTCACCCACTTAACTTCAAGTTTGTGCCCCTATAATAGGCGCCAGAGCCATTCAACACACACAAAGTTCGCCGGGGAATTGGCCGCGCGCATCCTCGGACGCACGTATGTACACATACCTCCGTTGGTCGGAAGCGCGCTCGTAGGTTGTGTTGTTGAAGTCTGAAAGCAGCTAAAGATGCCAACGCACGCACCCACCGACGACCGCTAATCGACATTTCGTAGGTACATGCTGTGGTGACTAGGCGGAAAGGTGGCGCCTTTGATATAATCAGAGAGATTGTTATCTCTCTGTTAAACGAACGAACAGAAAACGGTGGTTCAGTGATAGTTTACTTGAGAACAAACGCAAAGACCCTGGTTACGGGTGGCGTACAAGAAAAGAGTGATACTTGAGCCCCGCCCCTAAGGAGCGGGGGTGAACGCGGGTTCTGGCCTATGCCAGAACACATGCTTTTGGCTTCATTAAGTAATTTTTGTATGACCAAGATGGAGGTATTGCTTTGCTTTTTCTTCTTATTAAATCAGTAAAGGTTTTATATCGATTGCTCAGTAGTTTCCGTTGAGTACGGCTTCGCTATTAATAGATTACTGCTGTTGATAAGTAGAAAATTCGGTGAAAATGTAGTTGGGGGGCCACCCATCCGAAGGCCAGCATGTCAAGAAATGAACTCAGTCTCACGTGTTAGCCCTTGTTATATCAGCGCTGTATCGGATGCGTAGAGCATGATGGGAATCGATCAGCTTAGCTCTTTTAAGCGGTTTCCGCTGAGGAAATTTAGTTTCCCAAATAAGCCTAGGTAGGGTAGGAGCGCCTGGGTGGCTGGGATGTTTACCTCTTGCAAAAAAAAAAGAAAAAAAGAAATAAAACTTGCCCACCGCGGTGCTCCTTCCTTACGAAAGTCCTTTTTTAAAAACTGGTATGTCCGTGATATAACACGACGTAACGCGTTTCATTGAGTTCATTTCTTGATATACCGACATTGTGATAGGTGCCCCCCCCCCCCAACTACATTTTCACCGAAAATTCTAATACAGCGTTAACATTTACCTCGAATTAAAAAGCAATCTGTAAAAAGTGTATTCGTGCTCAAAAGAAACTATTAAGCAGCTGATACAAAACCTGTAACCTTCTGCTCCCAAATAGAACAGCAACTTGGTGTTCTATTTGGGAGCAGAAGGTTACAGGTTTTGTATCAGCTGCTTGGTTAAATAGAACAACTTGGAGGGGGGGGGGGGGGGGGGGGGGGGGGGGNGGGGGGGGGGGGGGGGGGGTGGAGGGGGGGAGGCGTTCGATTCGCGCGATTACGGGTGCTCGCGGCAAATAGCGCGGCGAAATTCGCGGCGATTCAAGCAACTCCTGCGCCTATCATTGGGGTACAAACTTGAAGTAGAGTACATTAGTATGGTCGGACAATCCTTCCAACCTACTTTACTTCGAATTTGGGCTCCAATGATAAACGCTGCATTCGTCCAAATCGCACAGAATTTCGCCGCGCAATTTGCCGCGCACCCAAAATCGCACGAATCGGCACACACACCCCAGTGTTAGTATAACCAGAAATTAACGCAGTTTTACGTGTTTGTCCGCGTTATACTAGCACCGCATCAGAGACGAAGAGGGGGATGAGCACCAGCCTTCTGTGTGTTCTTTTGCGGTTTTCAGCCAGGTGGATGTAGTTTTTTAAAACTAAGCCTTAGGAGCGTAGGAGCGCCAGGGTGAGTGGGAAAATCATCTCCTGCGAGGAAATGAAATTTCGTCCATCCCAGAGCTCCCTCCCTCCTAAGGTTCAGTTAAAAAATTGCATGTCCGTGGTGCAACACGGAGTAACACGTAACACCGTGTTGACTCCTTGATTTACCAACTATGTGATACCTCCCCCCCCCCCCCCCCCCCCCCCCCCCCCCTCCTAAATTACACTTGCAAGTTCAAAAGGTACGTTGTTGTAATGTTAATGATCTTGCGTAGGAGTTCCTTCGGTACTTTTGATTGTCGACGTACTTATTTGTCAAGCATTGAGTGCAATGTTGAAACTTGAGCAGCATCCCAAGGTGACAACTTTATGAACTTACTGTTTTGCTTAGCACATGGTCCCAGCTTGGAATGCTGAGTTGTAGGCAATATGCATAGTGGTTTCTAGTTCCATTTTATCTTTGGAAAGACACATCAAACGAGATGTTTGGAAGAGCATCAAGTACTACATTACAAATTTTTGAAAACTGAACTGATCAGTTCTACCCACATCGAGTTTAAACAATCCGCAGACCACTGAAGAGAAGCTTGTGGGCTTTGGTCCTCCACAGAAAACTTGCAAAAACTAGGTATGGTAGAAAGTTAGAACCGCACAAAACTAGCTGTTTGAATTATCAGGGTATAAGTTTGAACGCGGAATTCATAGAGAGAATAGCTTCGAGAGCGGTCTTAGACCAGAACAATTAAGCCTACCAATTACCTGATAAAGTTCTCTGTTCAATAGAGAAGAGGCCGAACATAAGGTCCTTCTCAAAGTGAGCATTGTTGAAAGTGCGGAGCACAAAAGCCGTCAAACAGAGTGCACAGGCTGCGTTTCCCGCGAATTGCGGAATTGATTAATGGCAACGCACTAGACGGCCGTTGCGAACCGAAATGGCGTATCATTTATGCCGGTTTCTGTGACAGAAACGTAATTTCAATATCGTATTGTAGTTTCGCAAAAATTTACCGTGAAGTAAAATGCACAGAACGCAGAGCTTCACAAGCAAGGTGAGCTCGCGCGCACGGCGGAGCGTGTTTCACCTCTGCTTCTGTGTAGAGCCGGGAGGTAATGACTTTTGCCTCAGATGTCTACGACAAAACGTATGTTTTGTATTTCGCCATTACAATGGAGGGTGAAGGCTCCGGCAATTGGCCAATAACGACTTACTTCTTATTCGACGACTATCGCCGTCACACCATCAGATTAATACATACACCATCATTACGCTTTATAAAATTGAGTGGCGAAACAAACAAGTTAAAAAATCCTGTAATAATGATGCAATGGATGATCTATTTGTAGGGGAGAGATATTTCAGGTAGTTGGATGCAGGCCGGGAGAGAAGAGCGGGAAGAAGATAACGGAAGAAGATCACTAGAAGGATGAAGTAAACAAGGACGGTATATAAGGGGCAACTTCGAGTATAATAAACACTTTTCCTACCAGTGTGTGTACGAGTACACCAACTGGCGATCAGGCCAGTAACTCACGCAATCCTATTCTATCCTATTCTATCCTTAATCATTCCCGGCCAATCGCAAACACCCAACACGATTCGTGCGCACCCGTCCGCCATGAACAAACCTCCTTAGGTTCTGTGTCTTTGAGTAATTCTACTTATTCCCGACTTATTGAACCTTGGTTTCGAAATTTTGCTTGAAGTCTAAATTAACATTTTTCCCACGCCTCGCCTCCTGTGAGCAGAGTTAAGTCCTGTCGCCCGACATAGGTGCTCCCATCCTGCCGCCTGTACTTCTACCAAATTCGAACGTTCCAGGTCCAAGTTTAATCTTTTCACGAAACCCCGCCTATTTGGGCAAAGTACGGTCCTCCCACCCACCATAAAAGTTCCCATCCTGACACCTGCATCCTACCAAATTTGAACTTTGTAGGTCCACGGGGACAGGAAGTACGAATTACTCCCAAACCCCGCTCATTGTGGACGGAGCCCAGTCCTGCCGACCATTATAAGCGTTTCCATCTTATTTGGAGTACTCCCACCGATTTTGGGCGCTTTAGGTTCACGGGGACTGAGTTATTACTTTCTGCTCAGACTCCACCCGCTGTGGGCGGAGTCCGGCCCCGCCATTCACCATAGGTGTTCCCATTCTATCGCCTGTACTCCTACCAAGTTTGAGCGCTTTAAGCCCACGGGAACAGAAGTTATGACTTTCCGCTCAAGCATTTATTTCGCACAAACCGCGCCCCCATGAGCGGAGTATAAAACGCGCCCCCATGAGCGGTGTATGGCCCTGCCACTCACCGTAGGTGTTCTCATCCTGCCGCCTATACTCCTACCAAATTTGAACACTCTAAGTCCTTGGGAACAGGAGTTATGAATTTCGGTCAAACACACACAGACAGACAACAGACAAGCCAACAGACGCACTTAGCGTGTTATATATATATATATATATATATATATATATATATATATATATATATGTATATATATAGTAGGATTGATTCCGCTCCTATATGTATGTCATCAACTAGCCTCCAGTGTGGCCATTATTGAAATCACAAAAAAATTTTAGTATGCACTTCGAGTTCTTGTAGGCTAATGACTGCAAATGGCATTGAATAAGTCTCACAATCTAAAAGGTAGTGGGAGTATCACTCAGGTAATCATGCACTTTGCAAGGGAACTTATTTGTGCAACTTACTAATGGCGAATAGAGTAAAAAAATTAAATTATTTTTGCGTTGGAAGTTTCTGATTGTTGGTGCCCATGATTTTGGGACACCCTCTACATAACGAAGGTAAGAGACACAGCACTTATCTTTGAAGAGAAGCGTAATAGTTTACACGTTGACGAGACCCTTAGCAATAGACGTAACAGACAGAACAGCAGTTAAAACCCCAACGCACTTCAGACCAATGCCTATTATGTACTATGCCCATTGAAGACCTGAAGTACCTGAAAAAGCACCTAGGGAAATCGGGTAGAATTTTGGGTGGATTGGGCATAGGGCAAGATCAGCTTAACACACGTGAGTTCAGTGAAGCTCACACTCAAGCACACAAATGATAGGTGCGTTTGGAAAAATTCTCACTTATATTTCCATGTTCAAAACGTTCTGAAATCCGAAAAATGACCACAAGCTAAGTCAGAAAAAGTGTTCAAATCTTCATGGTGGACGACGTGTTCGTCAAGGTGGGCTGAGCCGAGGTCAAAGTTCGTAAAAATTCAAAAACTTTCCAGAAGCTGGCAAAAAGCGGTCTGGTGCTCTCCAACGAGTGAATTTAAATATAGTAGTTGGATGTGCGCTGAGATGGGTAGGGCATTAGCATGGGCACACTAAAATCATTATCATTACTTATTAAGTATAAAGCCGTCCTGTCCGTCTGTCAGAAATTCCTGTGTCACCTTAGGAACAACTCGGCGGTAGTGCTGGCATGGGTAGGAAATAGGGCAAAATGGTAGGTAGCACATGAACTCAGAAGAGCTCCGCACACCCGGAGGGAATTAAAGGAGTGCAGGGGAGTGTGCAAGGAGCAAAGTCATTGAGTTGGCTTCCAAACAGTCCAGCGCTGTCACTGGGAGAAATGAGCACATATGAGGAAATGAGACACACAGGGTCAAGAAATGAGAATTCCGCAATCACAGAACTGTAGCTAATTATTGGGAATAAGCCGAAGGGTACTTGTGGTAGGGAACAGTCGACGTTTCAACGTCATACTCTCACGTGTTTTTTGCTCTTCTACATACATTCGCCTATGAAGATAGAGTTCGGGTGGTATAATCTAGGCCGGAGCATCCTCTTTCAAGATATAACAGTTTCGGATTTTCGCTGGCTAGCACTGATGGTTACTGATTTAATCCTCATAATTCACACTCGATTTCCATCGATTACTATGTCGGTGAGAATTCTTCAATCGCAGCTTGGTGCCACTCTCAGCGTTTTCGTATATTATCCATCTCTGGTAATTTATCTTGCATGCCTTCCACCCATCACGTGTGTGTCTCCTTCGTTGTAGGTTGACCCATTCCTCACACTTTTCAATGTGTGAGCTATGAGCCGAATCAAGTTTTGACCATTGCACCACCCAATTTGGGTTATATTCCACTCCGTGTGCGGAGCTTCTCTACATATGTCCACATGTTCACTTTTTGTTTTGCCCTAAGGCGGACTAATCTCATAATTAACGTAACCTCCGGCTTATGCCGGTGGTTCGTATGCGTGGAACTCCTGACGCGATATAAGTTTATTGGGTATATTACCCTATATACAAGCAGACCACAAGAAGGAGAACGACTGAATCTCCGAGCCATCCACCGTCCTTATATACGGTGGATTATCGGCGGGGAGATGACAATGATAAGCTATGATTACATTCCACAGTACCGATCAGCCGTTAAGCTCAGCTTACAAGATGAGTCATCCACAATCTATCGATACAATATACATATAAAATAATCACAACCAATAATCAACCATGCTCAAATCATACAAATACTAAGAACTATCATAGAGAGTATTCTCTATACTCCCGGCCGAGACGAGTAGGTTCGATCACTGTTGTACGAGGCACTTCACTTGTGCTGGTGGTCCATCGATCTTGTCGAACTGCGTCGCTTCTCCTGTCCTCGGCTTGCATCCTGGTCTCTCCTGGTGCTGCGAGAATCGCTACTCCTTCTGGCTCCCTCCGAATGTTCCCGAGTTCTCGAGTGGCTCAGGCTTCT